ATATTGTGTTTCTCTTTCGTGCAACAGGTTTTACAAAAAATTAAGAAGTTAAAATATCTCCCAAAGTAATAATTTCTCGACACGGGGTAATACTTTCTCTTTATAGAGAGTATCGAGCTGCCTAGATCAATGGACCAAAACAATATGTCATTTCGTTTAAAACGATGATGGTGAATCTTGAAATCTCGGAAACGCCCGCACAAATCTGACGATTATCGTGAGATTCGTTTCAAATATTGAAAGTAACGAGTAGGAGATAATTATGTGGACGAGAGTTAAAATGGCAGACTTTATATATTATTTCTAGCACAACATAAACACATAATTTTCACACAGATAACAGAATTTTCTATAATAACAAAGCGCCACGAAAAGTTCATTACCTCGCAAAAAAAAAAAAAAAAAATCGCATTTCTTTGTTCCATTTTCTACGCACCGATCGCTGGAAATCCCAAATTAAAAAGTCCGTTTCAGAATTGATCACGTTTCAATTTGAAGTGGAACAAAAGATACATCAAATCCTCCGCTATTCGACTCGCCGAATCGAAAAAAGAAAAAGAAGAAAAAAAAAAAAAGAAAATAGAATAGAATAGAATAGAATAGAAGAAACGCAATAGAAACTTAAATGAAACGTGTCGCGAATAAAAATAATCGTGCAAGAATGGACATAATGACCGAGGCGGAAATTGCGCGTGCAATGTGATGCCATGTCTAATTTTAAAACGTTACGCTCCGAAAGTCTAGCGAGAGAGATCTGATCTCTCTCTCTCTCTCTCTCTCTCTCTCTCCTTTTATCCCTATCTGTTCTCTTTCCCGAGGATCGGACGATCGCACGGCATTGTTAGTCAATGAACCGCGTAGTAGCAATTACTAAGCACAAAGCCACGGTCACAATAACACCGGTTAATTGTCTGGCTTCATGGGCCGAAGAGAAATTAATTCCAACAGAGAAGATTATTGCGCCGCCGTTTCCCAGATTAATTTTATGCCAGCTCGTCTAATTCTCTTCCAAAAACTCTGTCCAGTCACCTGTCCCGTTTCATTCGTTTCATCGGCTTCGTTGGTTTCCTCGCTCAACGATGATCAAACCGACGCGTTGTTTCATCTGTCACCGGCTTCGTTTTGTCCATCGAGCCATAGTCATCCATCGAGGACGAGGATAATCAGCCGATTCGATCCCTTCTGCGATTTTTATTGAACTCCTTGCGCTGGCAGCTAACGTTCGCGGACCATAACGAGTGACCGTACCCGTATACAGTAATTACGTCGCTTTCTTTTCCCTTTTGAACTCGTCGGTGATGATATAAATTACAAGTAATAAATTTATTGTTTGATAAGTAATAAATTTATTATTTGTTTTGCCTGGGTTATACTTAAGTTAAATATTACTTAAAATTGAAAAAATATTGCAATTTTGGGACAAAAAATTCTCGACATTCCCGGTTACAACATAATTTCGTAATATTATTTATCCACATTACTGAAATTTTTATCAACTACGAATGTTTTATTAATACTCTAATTTAAATGAATTTTTTAATATATTATTATTATATTAAATATTATTTAATATTATCTAAATATTAAATATTATTATATAATTATATACACAATATTACAATATTTAATATTATCTAAATATTAAATGTTATTCAATACTATCTAAATATTAAGTATTATTATATAATTATATTTACAATATTTAATATTATCTAAATATTAAATGTTATTCAATACTATCTAAATATTAAATATTATTATATAATTATGTTTACAATATTACACATAAATATTATTATATAATTATATATACAATATTCCAATATTTAATATTGTCTAAATATTAAATGTTATTCTATACTATCTAAATATTAAATATTATTATATAATTATACATACAATATTACAAATATTATTATATAATCATACATACAATATTACAATATTTAATATTATCTAAATATTAAATGTTATTCAATACTATCTAAATATTAAATATTATTATATAATTATGTTTACAATATTACACATAAATATTATTATATAATTATATATACAATATTCCAATATTTAATATTGTCTAAATATTAAATGTTATTCTATACTATCTAAATATTAAATATTATTATATAATTATACATACAATATTACAAATATTATTATATAATCATACATACAATATTACAATATTTAATATTATCTAAATATTAAATGTTATTCAATACTATCTAAATATTAAATATTATTATATAATTATATTTACAATATCACACATAAATATTATTATATAATTATATATACAATATTACAAATATTATTATATAATTATACATACAATATTACAAATATTATTATATAATTATATATACAATATTACAAATATTATTATATAATTATACATACAATATTACAAATATTATTATATAATTATATATACAATATTACAAATATTATTATATAATTATACATACAATATTACAAATATTATTATATAATTATATGTACAATATTACATATATATATATATATATCATATAAAGCAATTTGACATTTTTTTTCCTTCGAAGAACAAAATGTCTATCGAACAACTCATCTGTATCGTTGTTTTCCACTTGGTAAATTTTTACGCGAGACATTGTATCGACTAGGGAAAGAAGGGACGTCGATTTATTTTGAGCTACGTAAAATTTAATAAACGTCCACGTACGGGTTCCGCGCAGGCTTACCATCTATTATTTTGCCGTAGTAAAAATTCCCGGCACGATTTACGTGCACAGTCACTCGAAAATTTATATTACAGTATGTTCGATCGCGTAGCATTACTCGAGTGTTGAAGAATTTCGATTATCATGCGCCGCAATGGCTCGGAACGAAGGTCTGGCCAGTAACATCCGATTCTACTCGTGATTCTGCTCGTTTACGAGAATCTCAATAAATTCCTCCTGATTGGTAATAAATGTAAATTCAATGCAAATGTCAATTTATAATTCTTAATGGCATCTTCTTTTAAGGGACAGAAATGTTAAAGAGGTATTGGAAGAGTAAACAATTCGAATCATTCATTTTTATTTCCCCGTAAGGACAGCATTTCAAGAATTCTGAAGTTTTACGTGCTCTGCTTGTTTACGATGATTTTAATAAATTTTTCTGATTAACAACGAACGTAAATTGGTAATAAATTTCTTTGGAAATTCATTTGTAGTTTTTAATAATTATCTTGAGGAGTTAGTCTCACTCGGAAGAGTTAAAAATTCGAATCTTTCTTTTAAAAAGGAAATCTCAAGAATTCCAAAATTTTACGATTCTGCCCGTTTACGAAAGCTCCTCTTTAGAAATCAATTTCTATTTTATAATAACATCTGTTTCAAAAATCAACCCCATTCTTCTAATCATCTCTAGAGATGGGAATTCTTCTTTTTTTCTTCTTTTATTTTGCCCAATGTGAATACTTTACGTAAAATTTCAATTTTTAGTTGGAATTTAGTACATTTAATTTATATTCAATTGATAAATAGAAATAAATTTTTGCTTTTCAATATTAAAAAATACGCGCAATGGTCTATTTGAGGAACTGAAGGCTCAAGTCTCAAGAATTTAAAAATTTCACTCCTGAATTTGATATTGTCGAAAATAACAAAATTGCGATAGTTTACAGAAAATAAATAAATTTTCTTTCGAGAAATTCTCAAATTTTTGAATGTTTTGTGAAAGAGGAGAATATCTTTTGCCATTCTATTCTCAGCTGAAAATGGCAGATGCAACAGTGACATAAAAACATTACTTTTATATTTCTTTATATATTGAAATTGCCTGCCATGATTCCTCAACAATGGATGAACCAATCTCTTTGAAATTTGATATAAATCTAAAATAGATGTTTCGCTGTAGCCCGTAATAAAATTATGCCAATATCTGCAGTGGCATTTTTATTTATTGCCCCGATTGAAATTCTTATGATAAAATCGATTTTCCTACCTTGCATGGCTTGCATACTATTTAATATAATTTAGTATAGTTATGCATAAATTTAGTATAGCCATAACAATGTTCGTACGAATTGAGGTTATTTTTTATTTTTATGAATTATGCTGACCATTGTAATTAACGTGCAATAATATAAAACAATGTTGTACGTAAACACTAACAAACATAATTGAAAATTTTATGTTTAGAGTTTTATTACTATCGAGAAATGACCTCTCCAGATGAGAATAATCCCTTAAATATATTATTATAGATTACGAGTTTTAATTCTAGTTTATCCGAATCGATCGAGAAATGACTAGCTCATTGATTCTTTCTTTTGTTCGAATTCGATTAGCAGGAATTCATTTTATGGAATACTTATTCGAAAAAAGAAATTCATTTAATCGAATGTTAGATCTTCCAACAAATAGAATTCAGAGTGACTTAGAGACGTGACAACGCTATTTTTCTCTAGAACTCTTGAGTCATGCGACATTTCATTTAGTTAATAAAAAAAAAAAAAAAATCAATAGGAAACAGTTTTATCGTCATAGATTTAAGTTCAAAATAAAGAGCATTAATTTTTTTTTGTGGAGAATTACCAATTCTTGCTAAAAGAAAACTTTTATGAAAAATTATTCATCTATTCTTAGCAGAGTTAAAAAGTATTGTAAAAATAATCTTAATAATTGATAATACTTGATTTACTTATTAGAGATTCAATATATTAGAATTAAATCAATTAAAAAGTACATGTTGCATCTTTAATTAATTATACACGCCTCGTTTAATATTAAGACTTTTGTCTCTAGAATTTCAAGCAATCAAAAGCTAAGTTAAAAAAAAAGACTAAATAAAAAAATTGAAAATTTTAAACGTAAAAAATTATTTTACACATACAATGATAAAGAACGCAAGCGTTTGTTTGTACATTTTTCGAAGAATCATTAAAATCTTCAAATGTCAACTGCTATAGAAACGTGAAAACGAATTTTGTCGACAGAAAAGGGAATTTAGAAGAAAAAGACACTCACCAACATGAACGATAGGTTTCGTCGCGATTTCGTGCAACAATTGGTCCACGTATTTCGAGTCCACTGGATACAGTTCCGTCCTAGAAATCTGTAGATGAAATTTCTCCAGCGTCGAGCTGTTCTTCCTGAAAAACAAAGAGAAAACGCCGCGTTACTCTACATATACATCGAACAAACTTTAAGAGATCAATCGTGTCACCGGCGAAGGATCTAAATCAAAGACAAAAACGAAGATTTAAGAATTGAAATATTGAGACGGAATTAATTCAAAAGAACATTTTCATCGAAGGCTTGTTTAATCGAAGAAACTGAAAAATTATTGATCGATAACTGGAATTTTAAGGAAACAGAAAGAAATAGAAAGAAAATAAAAATAAAAATACAGAATAGTTTGAAAATAAATAAAAATAAAAATACAGAATAGTTTTAAAATAAAATTAAAGTATTAAAATAAAGTATTAAAATAAATAAAATAAAATAAATTAAAAATAAAGAATAGTTTTAAAATAAATGAAATAAAATAAAATAAAAATACAGAAGAGTTTTAAAACAAATAAAATAAAAATATAGAATAGTTTTAAAATAAAATTGAAGTATTAAAAGAAATAAAATAAAATAAAATAAATTAAAAATAAAGAATAGTTTTAAAATAAATGAAATAGAATAAAATAAAAATACAGAATAGTTTTAAAATAAAATTAAAGTATTAAAATAAAGTATTAAAATAAATAAAATAAAATAAAATAAATTAAAAATAAAGAATAGTTTTAAAATAAATAAAATAAATTCAAAATAAAGAAGAGTTTTAACATAAATAAAATAAAATAAAATAAATTCAAAATAAAGAACAGTTTTAAATAAAATAAAATAAAATAAAATAAAATAAAGTAAAATAAAATAAAATAAAATAAAATAAAATAAAATAAATAAATTAAATAAAATAATAAAGATTGTATTCTAAATTTCCCTCAATTTCACTTTGTAAGAACATTGTAAGAAAAAAACGAACGCCATGAGTTTTAACACAGCCAAGGTGGCCTAGCCTCTAAACAGAAGTTTATTATACTTGTTCTTGCATTTATTATTATTTATTAATTATTATAATTGTACTTGCAAATATTTTTACAACAGATTTTTTTCGTCTTAGTTTTTTGAATTTCGAATCAACAACTCGTGAAGCTATCAAGTTATATTATAACGAATATAATAAAATTATCATAACGGAGGGTTGAATGTACGATTGAAGAGCTACTATAACTTTTTTTAGCTGGTGGTGAGAACTTCGAGATCCAGATAATCCCAGTTACACGCGTGACGATTCGAAAAAACGCAATCGGTAGCCTTTTAAAATGCATAGAACATTGTCGACGAGCCTGACCCCTCGTTTCAAAGGTTCCTCGCTTGTCTGATAGGCTATCCATGGTAAGAAACGGTGTTTCCCCATGACGGTACGTGAACACCGTTACGGGGGTGCTCCTGAACTTATCTCCGTCTGGATGAGTTTAGTCGCGTATGCGTGACACGTGTCCATGATAACGTAGATTTTCCTCCAGTTCACCAAAATCTCGTCATTCTGCTTCCTCGTGTTACGTTGTTCACGATAAAATTTAAGAGAAATTTGAGAACACGACGCAATTCAATTCACTTTTCACTTGGGAAATTAAACAAAATAACACCACGATGCTTTAAACGCGATTAAAAAAAATTATTTCGACCTTAAACTCCATTTCGTCAAAGATATTTATGTTAAATTATATATATATATATATATATAATATTAAATATATTAAATATTATATATATAATATAGCTATATATATATATTATTTATTAATTTTAGTGTTAAGAAAATTAAAAAGAGAATTTAATTTTGAGGATGTAACGTTTGAATATTTTCATTATAATTTTAAATATTTTATTATGATACATTAATATTATTATAATATATTTTAAATATATTATAACAATATCAAGTAATTAATATTTAGTTATTATTTAGTTATTATTTAGGTATAAATATATTATGATAATATTAAGTAAACTCATTTATAATATATAATTTTTTAAGCAAATACATTTTATATTACTATAAAGTTTCAACTTGGCTTTAACTCTTATTGATAATTATCACGATTATGCTACGCATGTTCAAACATCTATGAAGGAGAATTGAAATGCGAAATATGAAATATAAATTGCGCGCTTAAATGTTACCTTGTTTTGTTAAGATTTGAACTGAAGTCAGATTCTCAGTAATATTTTAAGTTCGCATCGAAGAATCAAGTCACGAAAGTTTCATCTCGTCGCAAGTTCGATGAAGTTGGAACCGTGATATTAAAATCAGCCTCTCCGAATGAACACGATTTACGTCGAAAACACCTGACAGTCTGAACTTTCCTAACTTGAAAGTGGAAATCTCAATCAGTCTTTTTCTCGTGTTTGCGGAATAAGTAAGGAAGCATTAGCATAAAAACTTCAACAATCGCGGCTACCCAAGTCTGTATATTCAATGTTAAGAAAATTTGCAATAAAAATATCAAAATCTGACGGCGTTTTTCATTTAAATAAATCGAGTTGTAGTATTCAGTGTCAATTGAATCACAATATCAATTACAATAAAGATATTGAAGAGCTATACGTCTTTGTCTGTATATTTAACATTCAGACAATGTATACTAAGAATATCAGATAATAATCAAAATAAAAATATTAAAATATTTAAATGGTTTGCTATATATATATGTAATATTAAGACTATTTATAATAAAAATATATCAAAATCTGACGGTGGAGGAGGAATTAAAAATTGAAGAAAAAATTAAAATGAAAACATCAAAATATATAGGTATATGACAATAGTATAAAAATGGTATAAAAGTGCACAATAAATATTCGTACTTGTTCTATTAATCGTGTAGCTAAAATTCAAAAATAATGAGTACACTTGTCAAACTCAGAATAAATGTATGTAGTGCAAAATTCAATTAAATTATATGATGATATATTATTAACGATTTAATCAAATTATAACTTGTAATTAATTTAATTTAATTATAATTGGTTGGCACTTGGTTCTTTGAATTATTGGCAAAATTCAAACGTTTACAATTTCCTAAGAAAATAGTACAAAAATGACAAATACTACTAAGAAAATAGTACAAAAATGAGAAATGAGAAATTTAATGTTTCCATCTTTGTTCTAATAACAAAAGTAATTGCTAAACAACTGAGTAAACATTCTGAATATTCTATCATTTCCCAGTAAATCTCATTGACATTTTTCTTTCATTGTAGTTTCAAAACATCCAAATTCAAATAATAAAATTTACAGCCACATTAAAAATTATATTATAAATTATATTATATTATATTATAAATTATATTATATTATATTATAAATTATATTATATTATATTATAAATTATATTATATTATATTATAAATTATATTATATTATATTAAAAATTAAATCATATCAAATACCATAACTGCACCAAACGTTAAGTCATATATTTATACATTAAATATTACGATTGTATTAAAATCATACAATTTAATTTATTTATTAATTATATAATTTAATTTAGTAATTATATAATTACTAAGTTAATTATATGAATAATTTAATTTCTTTATTTACTTATTTTATTTAGTTATATTAAAAATTTACAAATATCAGAATTACGAATACATTTCAATCGTTATTTAAAGTAGCAAAGAATAACATCGTACGAACACAATTAACAGACCAAAACCCTAATCCGCGCGAGTACGCGATTTATGCCAAACTTCTTTCTTCTTCTTCAGTAACTGACGATAAAACGAAATTCAAGGGACGACGAGAAGTTCAAACTCCCTGCGAATAGCAACATTTCACACGTGAATACCGGATATTTAAACGCAGCCACGTTCCCGCCCGGCATTAAATTCAATGGCTGCCGATGCAATTACAATAAAACACTTGAGGGCGAGTCGACCGTGAGCAATGAGAGCGAAAAACATTTCCGGGATTCCGTACGTAACAATGGGGGGGAAAACGTGATTCAGACATTCGGCCTCGTAAATTTCGTAGGAATCCACCGTGGTAATAACGAGCCTCGCGGACGCTCGTAAAAGTTTTCTTTTTTTTTTCTCTCCCCGAGAACTTTATCAACCATCACGGCCGGCGGCGGTACGATCTATTAAAATTAATCAGCACGCTAATTGTCACCTTAAGGGCGGTATTCTGGCAATCCGGCTTGAAAAAAACTCGACTTTTTGGGGATTTTTTTTTTTCCAAGGAAAACATGATGCATTTTGGTATGCAGTTTCTCGCACACACAGATTTATTTACACTTAAAGAGTATTTACAATTTTTTCTTTTTAACGAAATTAATGAAAGTCGTGGAAATTATATAGCCTATAGGTGAAGCATGTTTTTAAAAACAGGCTCGACTGGCTGACGTGATTCCGGCTCACTTGGTTATTTGAAACTGAAGAACCAAAATGCATCATAATTAGTGTAAATAAGGCTATCGCGTGAACCACGTGAAACAGCGGAAATTTCGAAAATTAAAAAAATTGCAGCATTTTGAAGTTAAAATATCGATTTTTCTTGTGCTGTTTGTCCTTTGGGTGGTAAAGAAAAGATAGAAAGAAACATCAGATTTTGAAATCCGTGGTTCACGCGATAAAGGCACATCCGGTGAAGATCTCCACCAAATTTCAAGTCAATCGGTTAACTAAAGCGTGAGATATCAGCCAGTTTAAAAAATATGGATTATAAACACATAAAATATGGAGAATAAACACATTTGAAGTTCTTGTTACCCGTTGTACAAAAATATTCATACTTACAATCAATCGAGCAGTACAAAAGATAGAATATCACAAAATAATAATAATATAAAAATAAATAATAATATGAAAAATAATATTATAAAATGAAATATTTTTTGAGAAAAACACATTTGATGTTCTTGTTACCCGTTGTACAAAAATATCCATACTTACAATCAATCGAGCAGTACAAAAGATAAAATATTATAAAATAATAATAATATAAAAATAAATAATAAAATGAAATATTTCTTGAGAAAAACACATTTGAAGTTTTTTTTACCCGTTTGTACAAAAATACGTTGCGAGCAGTACACACTGTTTCCTTTAAACATCTATAACTTTACTAATTTTACGAATTCAAACAAATCCTTTTATAGAGACACTTTCGAAAGCAAATACTTTGAGAAAATGTAAAAAAAAAAAAAAATGGATTTTTCTAAACCGAATTCCCAGAATACCACCTATATCATTTTCTTCTTTTCCGAGTGCCATTATCGTGACTTTGTGAACTGAGTAACGTGTCCTCTTTTTTTTCATTTTTCTTTTTCATGCAACCTTTCCGGAGAAACAATGCAGAATTCATTTACTCATAACAATGTATCTGGGTCTTTGAGACTGAGTATAACGACGTTGATGCCGACGCGACCTTACTTTTCCATGAATAAATCGAGCGAGAACAATTATTTGTCAAGTTGCTCGTTGTTAATCGTGGTTTATGGCATAATTGGATATATCGATGCCTTGTGTACGCGTATAAATATGAAAGTATAAAAGTATAAATCAACGTTTGTACGTAGGTTTGATAAATATTTCAAAATATTCTAATAAAATTATAATATATAATATATAATTAAATATTATAATATAATTAAATTTTATTTAAATATAATTAATATTGTGATATATTATATTAAATTTTATTTTAATTATATTATAATTAAAATTTATAACATTATAGAAATATTGTAATTAAAAATATAATAATAAATATTAGACAGATACTAGATATGTAATAATATTAATTGCAACAACAATTACTCTACAATGTTTAAAATAAATCTGGCGAGTCAAAGTTTGATACTAATCAGTTTGATACGTATTTAGTATATCTGTCTAATATTTATTATTATATATTTTTAATTTTACAATGTTTTTTATAATGTTATAAATTTTAATTATAATATAATTAAAATAAAATTTAATATATTAAATTATAATATAATTAAAATAAAATTTAATATATTAGATTATAATATATTTAAATGAAATTTAATTATATTATAATATTTAATTATATATTATATAATTTTTGAAATATTTAATTATAATTTTATTACAATTTTTTATAATATTTAATTATAATTTTATTACGATATTTTATAATATTTAATTATAATTATATTATGATATTTTGATATTTAATTATAATTTTATTAAAATATTTAATTATGAATTAAATAAGCTAATTATTTATCGATTACAAAATGATTATAAGCATTATAATTACATTTATTTATTCGATATATTGTTATATTATTAATTATTTTATTATTAATTACAAGATTGTCTACTATGAAATAGGAAAAATGTTAGAACACTTTCGCGATTCATTGTGTATGCTCG